TCTAGCAGGTAAATTTTGCGATTCTAGGGAGGATATGACATTTTCGAAGAGGCATGGGGGAACCTTTTGGGAAGTTGGAATTTTTCAAACGAAATTCAGAAAAATTTCCGAAAATTTGCCGTTTCATCGGGTATGTACGCATACCCATTCGCTTGACGCCAGCTTGTAATTGAAGCGAGGTCTCAAAGTTTGGAGGTGTTTCCGTGATCAATTAGGTCCAATCGATCTCGTTAGTGGGGATCAACCAGCTTCAATGGCACATCGGTCCTTTTGAAGGAAAGGAGAGTAAATGAGACGCTAGAGTAGTTATTTTATTAGGTTGTCCCATAATTAGTGAATCACTTTACATTTATTGTTATTAAAAATCCAAGAAAAATTGGTGAAGGCGTGAAACATGTTTTGCGAAGTAGCATCCACATTATCCTACCTGAGCGATTACTCGGCCCATGTACATGCTGCCTTCCGTGGCTGATACTTCAATTTTTCTGGAACCTATTTTTGAGCTCCCTTCTTAATCACTTCTGATTAAGGATCTTTCAAACGCCCAACAATATAGAGAATCGACCAGCAGATAGGCAAGGGCACGCTCCCTCACTCCACGGTCTGCTTATAGTTCACTCTATCGAGAGGTTGGCTTTTTTAGTTGAAGATGACCCACACTCCAACTACCCCTCAACTGGCAATCTCAGTGCTATACCCAGCGCCACTAAGCGTGAATATGGACGAACTAGCCGCCTTTTGCTAGAGCATGCCCGACTTGTTAAAATAATGGAATGTAGACATCTACGTAGAGTTGTAACGATTTTAAAATATTTAATTTGTATCTCGTGTGCTTTGAGCTCGAAACAGCTCCGCACACGATCTGACATCGTCATGTTCCTTCTGATCTCCCTTAGTTCCTTACAGTGATCATCCAGCTTATTCACCAGGGTTCTGGACTGCGTGAAGTGTACTAGCAAATCTCCGAGGAGCAGTAGCCCAGCGTGAACGATTCGGGAGTTCTGATAGCAAAAGCCAAACCTCATTCTAGTCCGACCCTTCAGAGATATTGGTGGAGCACGAGAGTGACCATGCGCTGGGAACCGCCGCCCAGTAATACTAGGGTCACTGAAGAAGATCAACATCTACAGCGTAATGGCGACGCATTCAATTTGAAAGTAAAGCAAGACAAAGTCTGCTTTTTTCCTGAGGTCGTTCGACCCACCTTGCGGAGAATATTCATAAAAAATTAGAGACTCTCAAGCTAGCCGATCTTCCACTTCCTCTGTGTGGCCCTATCCTCGTGCCAACAAGAGGCAACTCAGTTTGACCTCTAGCGCTCTTCCCCAGGGAGGAATTTTACGCTAAGTGACATGACCTCAAACTCGACTTCCGATCTTTCTTCGATCAATAGCTCCTGGATTTCTAGAGATAAGACAGCGACAAAATTTCCTTGTATAGGCAATACATTGTAGATGACAGGGATGTATGTTTGGATGAGCAAAGACTCCACATAAAAAAGAAAAAAATTGAATTCAAAAATACCCAAAGTGATTCACTAATTATGGGACAACCTAATATTTATTTTTCCCAATGATGGTTATTCTTGCCCGCCCGATCTCCCTCTCAAGTGCGAGTCGACCCATCCCGAAAAGGAGGAAGGCGACTGTTCAACACTTCTCCTAACAAATTTTGTAATGAAATCCATTATTCTGAAATTTATTTCAGATAAATAAAATAAATAAATTTATCTGAAATTTCGTTTTCCCCAACATCTCATGGTGGCGGATTACAGAGTTGTATTAAAAAATGTGTTTGCATATGTTCGCTTCAGCTGTACTCACACCACAACCTTGGTGATTGGGATGATATGCTCCACTTTATTGAAACTGTTATAGTTTGTATCCTGCGGTATAATTATGTTTAAAGGCGGATCTTGTACTGGAACTTACAGTAGGAGGGCAATGCTGATCACCGCTTGGGGCAACGACATCAGCAGTGATGCGCGTTGCGCCATACCCGTTGGCATGCCATATTTTCCAAAAATATGCGTGGAATACGAAATCCAAAGCTTAACATAGAGTGATATCAGTTCCTGTGTGAAAATATTATGAAGAAAGAAAAAGAGAGAATGGTAATGATAATGAAAACACATGCCCAGTCATCAAGATGCACAAAGCTCTGCACAAATAGTGCCAGGAGGAGAGGCCTCGTGAATTTGCCGTTCTGGAAACTGTCTGTTAGTGCAATGAAGAAAGTAAATGCACACACAAATATTGTCGGCAGTCGACGATCTTGTCGACCCACACTCCTGCCTCAGAACTGATGTGTCTCTTTTTCCTTTCTCTGGAATGGTCTTATCTGGCTTTGTGGAAGGGGTTTGGGTTAGGTGGGGTCAGCAGTGCCAAAGAGTGGAAATAGGAATTTAAAGGGTATGGAAAGGATGCTGGGCCCAGACCGTCTTGCTTTCCAGGTTTTATTCTTGAGGGTGAAGTTTTGTGCCCACTACAGCATTCTGTGAAAAGTTCCGCACGCGAATTGCTGCGAAATGAAACAAAACTTTTAAACTTCTTGAGAAATATCCAAAAATGACCTTTTCGGTGTCAACCTTACAACTGCTTACACTCTTCGATAGATTGGAAGTCGTGTACAGTAAAGGGGCTCACCACGCAGGCCATGAAGCCTCATCAATCTTTTCAAGTCATAGCTGGTATATGCTTGTCTTGGAGAACTAAAACATTAAACTACCCACTGTCTAGCCCTTGAAACTCATGTAGAGGCGCCAAATTGCACTCAAAATGTCACTAGGATTCTGATTGGAAGTAGAACGCGTGGCGCATCCCGAAAAGGGATTAGTCAACGCCACTCGCTTCATCATTTGACTACCACTCAGCAAAAATTTACTGAAGGGTAATAGGGTAGACGCTACCAATTTTTGTGTCATGTAGAAGTACTGACCTATATCGAACAACGGCCCTTGAAATAGCCCTTCTCCCTCTCCAAGTACTTCTCAAGAAAACCAGTATGCTAAAATTATCGGCTGTGTCACAAGTTTCATACTATGGAACTCTGGGCTAATGTGAAACGGTGTCCTGGTAGTGTAGTCTTTAACACCCAAACAGCTGCTCGAAAAGTCACGGGGCGGAAGTGATTCCGTCGGCTTAGACTATTGCCCATAACAATGGCGCTCTTGTGGAACTTTTGCAAGGCGAACTGTGGCGTTAAAATAGTAGTGATCAAACGAAAAGACCAGAATTATTATCCAGTTTTTTTATTCAGAAGCTAGAAACCAACCATGGCTAGTAAGTCTTTCTAAGTAGTAATGAGTAAAATAATCATCTCAAACTGCAATGGGTAAACTCAAGTCACAGCCTCGGTACGGTCTTACATCAGCAAAACTAGAGCAAGCCAAGGCTGTTAGTTCTCTTCCCTCCTACGAAGAGTGCTCTTTTGGGGAAGTTCGAACAATGAACAATATCCAACAGACTAGCATTGTGCAGGTTCTTTTCGTGATAAACGGAACAAACCTTGAATCGCTCTTTGGCCAAGCCAAAAGTCGACATCTGCGATTCAGCTATTGCTGGTTTTGCGTCTTTCTTGGCATTACCGTTCTCGTCAGTGCTTTCCATGTGCTGAAACTGTAGACATAAACACAAAAACAGTCAAATTATATTCAGCAATTTGCATGCGGCCTTCCGTCCCTCTCCTCGCAGCAAACAGTTCCTTATGTTAAAATCGCCTTATGTTAATAAATCAGATAACGATGTCTCCAAAAAGCACTGTGAAAAAAGCACTGAGCGAAATTTTGCAGGATCAAAGGTAGGAAGTGTTAAGAGAATAACTGGGATGCAAAAATGAAAATTCGCAAAGTTTAATGGCCAGTTTATGTAGATTCGGCACCAATCCTTTTAAAAATTCGGAGGAGTTCAATTTCATTCCGATGCGATATATTCAAAAATACATTAGAAATACCTGATAGAACAACATTGATTTTCTTGCTTCCTCTTCACGATTTTCTAGTATGAGGTACCTGAAAAGCTCTGTGATTATCTGAAGAAACCGTTAGCAGTCGATGAACGTTTGGTTGTGCTTGATCAGTTGCAATGAGGGCTGCGGCTATGGTCAACCGGCGGCTCGGACAAATTTCGAAATCGGATAACCTCGTTCCCCACCCACCCCCTCCCCCTCCCTCCCTACACCACCTCTCTAAGCCATCGCCATGCATTTCAAAGCATTTGACTACCACTTCAAAAATACCCCATCCCCACACAAACCTCTTACAAAACCGACGCCAAGCAGGGTCAAAGGAAGGGGAATATAGGACTGAAACAGCAAGTTCTACACACACGTCCATTTCAGGGCATTTTATGATGAGGCTTGTAGAAAATTCTTTCCTCCTCCAATCGCCAAAAGAACAACCGTTACTTGCTATATTGAAAGACCCCTTCAACTTTCACCCCAGGGCCCCTCTAAGTCCTTGAATACTTCACCGTCCATCCAAATATTATTTATTACTGCTCCCCATCCAGAAACCACAAACTCGATTTTCCATCCAAGAATCACTAGTACGACCCCAATCCATGAACCATAATCTGACGCCCGTCCTGATTGTCCAGACGCTACTACCCTGAGTACAGCTGGTATTTCCCTGTCCTGTTCATTTTGCTCCCTTTATCATTCATTGTGGATCCAAGCTCCTCTCAGACTTTATGTTTTTGCTCTTTTTGGGTCACATTGTTCAATATAGTAATTTTTTGGCAGTTAATGTTTTCAGCAGAACATACGTACTTCAAAACGATATTTTTACAAAATTGGACTTTTTCAATGCTTACCGAGGACTCTGAGGTGCACGTATGAGAATATAGAGCGCAGGAATAAGGAGTAGTAGTGGAACACCCATAGCCATATGCCATGTTGATGGACGTCCGAGCAACTCCTCGAGTGAGATCACCATACCAGCCAACTCGCCCAGACACGCCCACACAGTCTTCATTAAAGAAATAAACTTTTTGGAAATGCTATAGCTCTATTCTTAATTTTATAGAAGACTAGAGCTACACCATTTTTGGAAATTTCCAAGGTGTAGCTCTAGTCTTTCTAGAAACCCTATCAACAATAATGGTTCATAAAGCGAGTGAAAAGATACAGAGCTCTCACCAACGTGGCCAATGCGATGCCTCGCTTCTGTGGGGGCAGCTCGGTAAGCATGACTGATCCGGAAGTCTGAACACTTCTGTTGAGAAGTTCACTGACATGGTCAGAAAATGTAAAATACAGACCTGCACGATGCCTTGACCGCATCCGTTGATGAACCGGCCAACAGTTGCTGCCATCATACCAATTTTGACGTTGAGTGTGAGTAAAGTGAGAAGGATACCAATAAGATCGAGTACACTTCCTAGAATGCTATCCTTTCACTTTTCAGAGAACAGAAAGCAAATCAAATGAAAAGAAGTATGTACGGGGCATAAAGCATAAAGTGAACGTAATTCGAGGAACGAATGATATCCGTTCATTTCTTAGAGATCAGCAAGGAAGTCAACTGAAAAGTATTTTCCGGGCATAATGCCCAGAGTGACATAATTCGAGGAACGTAAAGTAACGTAAAGCCCTTGATTCCAGAAAGGAGGCCCAGCGATAAGTGTTATTCAGCTTTAAGTTCCTCCAGTTATGTCACTCTGGGCACTATGGGCAAATTAGCTAATGTGGTCTTCAAACAATTCAACATTACCGAAGAAGCCGAAAAATAAGCAAAGTACGTAATTCGAATAGGAGCAGAAAAGTTCAAAAAGGGAAAAAAATTGTAAAAAAAATAATTGTGTATAATTTACCGACCCAACACGACAGGAAATTTGTGGTCGTGTCGTCTGGACAAGAATATGGAAGCAAAACATCCGAATGCGAGGCCATATATTCGTGAGGACACCATAACTCCCCATGCGAAGTCAGCTGAATACAAAGAATGTTGTAAGATTTCACAAAAATGCGGTTGCTAAGATCGATTATGTGAATAGAGTAATCAGTGGTAAAGTTTCTCGTTGGGCTTACCGTCTTCCTTGGTGGCGTAAACTTTCATAAGGTACGGCCAAGCTGCTGGTAGGAGATTGTCCATTACGCTATCCAGGAACAGCTGCATCAAGCTCAGAATTTTTTAGAATTGCCTTGGTATGCTCGAGTAAAGATGTAAACTTTTATATTAAGGCTAATAAGTTGTTTATGGTGACAAAAGTTCGAAGAAATTTTGCAATCGCAGATGGCAACCCCTCATCGCCGGTTAATCACAGGCCCAGTCTGCCACCTAGAGGGGGTGCTCTCCATGGAGGTTGTGCTCTACGAGGGAAGACCTTGCTAGCAGGGTCAACCCTACGTTGTTACGAGTAACAACGGGGGGGTCGTACCTGGTTGAGTTTGTAGGAGGGGGGGTCGTACCCACTTTAGTCGCTCGAAATCACGTGTGGGATTGAGGTGAAACTAAGATTTCGTGGGTAGTAGGCTGGGCGAGTGGAGGGCGCGCAGGATAAAAATTTATTTTTGGAGGAAAAAGTGGGCGGGGTTTTGATGGAAGATGGAGATGGTGGAGGTAGGGAAAAGGGGGTCGTATCAAATCCACCTTGGGGGAGGGGGGTCGTAAAAATTTTTCGAAAAGTAACAACGATAGGACAGACCCTGCTTGCTAGCCCTCTATAAGCACCTGTTTACCGCGAAAGTTTCACGTCCAGTCTCTTTTAAAACCTAGCTCCTTCAAGTAGCAGGCAAATTTCCCTTCCTCCAACGTCAATTTATGGTGTTTATTTAATCGGCCGGTCATTTCATTGCCTCAGTAAAATATGAACAAAAAACAACTAAAATGCTGCATTTGAGAGAGAGAGAAAAGATCAGAAAGAATGGTAAGAGCCAATTGTAAGGGGAAGAGTGAGCTCATCGTATAAAAGGGGAGGCGGTCAATTCAATCGTGAGCTAATGAGGTCACGCAGCTAAAATAAATAGAAATAAAAAAATGAAAACAAATAATTCGAACAATCACCATGAAATGGCTAGCAGCTCCAATACTGAGCACCACGAGGGCTAGTCGTACATCAAGCGACCATGAGGGGCAAACTGATGGTGGATTGTTGATTCGTATAGAAATATCGCTGGCCTTCATTGTTTGTACCCTTCTGGAAATGTCAAACCAACCATTTCAATAGGCAAGAACTTTGATAAATGAGCCATTATTGGAATACAGGGATAGCATTTTTCGTGACAAATGGGCATAGAGCACTGGATTGAAACCATCTGTTATGATGTCAGGAGAGAGGCATTGTATAAATTTGTTACAAAAGTTGTTTTAACACTACTGCATAAGCAATAGGGACTAGTTTTTGAAGTAGGACAACACATATGATATCATATTCACGTATCGCATGCAAGTTGTTGTTTCAAAATACCGGTAACTGGAATCTACTTTTCGGAAAGTTAAATAAGAAGCCGCCAAGCAACAGGTATTCGAGGACTCGGTATCCGGAATTTTTTTAGGCCAAACTAGAAAGCTAAAGCAGCGGGTAATATAATATGGTATTGTTGTGATAAGCCGTGCATAACAACCATTCTCAGAGTCTCATGAGCATTTGAAAAAGCATGTGGTCATTCAATGATCGTTTGGGTTGCATATGGACAACTGTTCGCTCCAGTTCTCTCATCAGACAGTTTTAATAGCCGATTATCGTCCTGGAGGGATTGAAGGCATAGATAGGGCTCAAACCCTCTGACCGAGTGTGGCAAGCTGTTAACTTGGACTAGAAGTTCACCTCAATCAATTGATAGCTTCCAGAATAGTCCACGAAAATGTTCCAGTGAATTTGAAACTGGGCAAAACATTGATTATAATTTGTGCCGCTTAGACTAACCATGATTCTCCATACCAGCATTACCATCTCATTGAGGGAATAGTCATGGCAGTCAAACCTCCCTTCTGGAGGAAGTATTGAGAGGACCAAATATCCCGACCCCCATGATCTATACGACCCCATCTGGTCGCTGTTGGGCGATGATGCCTATAGTGTCCGATGAATCCGGTTCAACCTGCCCTGGCACACTCCTGCCACAAATTGCGCCCAAAAAATTGCCAACAAGCGGGGAGGTCGATGGAACTACCGAAACAGCATATCTCCTCGCCGTATATCATTTTTCCAACCGTTTTTCCATCTGCAGCCATCACATTATAATATCTTAAATATGGCCTGTTCTTTCCAACCGGGGGCGACTAGCTCCCTCAGTCTTCCATTCTTTAGGAAAGAATGTACAAAGCGAAAGGGTGATCAGTAAAAAAGTCAGAATGAGATTAAAAAAGCTCCCCCACTCGATAGAATTTTCCATCCAAAATGCGAAGAGTTTATGGCCACTAGCGCTGGTCGGTTTAATTTCAGCAAATTTTCAAGCTAGGAGAAAAAAAGAAACTGCAAAATATTGAGACGCTTACCAGTAAAGGTTTTGTGTGCATGAGGGCATTAGGGACTGCGAAAGCAGAACATCTGATGTCCAAATGAAAAGGACGAGGAGTCGCAAGGGTGCGTGGAATATAAACATTAACGCCTCCGGCAAAACACAGATGAGCCATCGATTCATTCCGCACACTTGAAGGTGCTGCTACTGCAGAAGGGTTAGGCAACGAATTTTGATTTTGGAACAGCTAAACCATCTGCCAAGGTCAGGCATGCGCCGAGAAAATCCCAGTAAGGAGATCGTATTTAGTCACGTGGAGGAGAGGCGTCGTAAGTACTGGAGTTAGCAGTGAAAGGCACGCCAGCCTTCTTAGGAAGGGGCTCGAAGCAGCGGCTCGTAATAGCTAACTGTAACACTGTCTACGCATGAGGGAATCCATTTTGAACCAAGGACTACGTGAGGGAAGAAAGATCGCGATGATGAATGGCAATTACGCCCCAAGTGAGGCTAAAGGGTGGTGGTGAATGAAAAGGAAAAAAATGGTCTGTGATTTGTTCCATGAAATTATTATTAAGTATCAAATAACTCTTCCAAACAAATAAGTCTACCAGCTGCGCTACCGAAGCTTCACTTTGTGGTTTTTTGGGACGTTAATAATGGACCCTACATGTGATTGCAGGCAAGACACTGAAAATCAAGGGCGGCAAAAAAACCCTCCGTAACTCCTTTCAGAGAAGAGTTCAGCAGATAATGAAAGCAGATTTGAGTTCAGCGTCTCATGCTGCGTACAGAAATGTGCACCTCATTTCATTTGGCCGGGTTGGCCTAAGCGACCATTTCTTGGTTATACCGTACATGGAAACAGCTATTCCAGTATAGAGCAGAAGGTGACTGACAGAAACCGTGGGAATTCCACCGAGTTGTTAGTATGATTATATGTTGTCTCCCTTGTTACTATTTCCTCCTCCTACCTTTCCTTAAGCAACACCCCAAGCTGTGTCGAGGAATCTATGCAATGGGTGGAATAGAGTAGCCCACGAGTGACACAGATGTGCTTTACTCGAAGCCCGACAGTGCGCGACAATTGCGCTAGGATCTTACACACTCAGCATTTAGACACTATGTTAGCATTTAGACGAGTTACGCAGACCCCATGACACCCGTAGCGGCTAATTCAGATATGCACGGCCAGTTGAGCCGTGGAGCAGGCAATTCGTACAACTCGTCCGGCCCCGCCCCTTCCTATTTCAAGGAGAATCCTTGTTTAGGGCTTCATCGACGGTTTTCCTGCTTCCTTTTTTATTTTAGGTCAATCTGGAATCCACAACTTCACTATCAACTGCAGTGACCCCAAATACTCGATGTGGGGTGTTGCTTGAAGTGTTGTTTTGCATATACAGAAAATAACAAAGAGATAACAACTAGTAGTGACTCTGAGAGAACAAAAAGGTTTGGGCCTTAGAGATTTGATATTTTTCGAAATACATCACGCAATATAATTCCATTCAAAATAGTAAAGTATCTCCGAATGCGGTTTTGCACGCTACAGTGATCTGCGAACTCATGTTTACGTTGGCAGTTGAACAAATAAACAAATAAACACAATTTCGGGAGCTGTACATAGCACAGAAAGAGAACGTATAACTGCGAGACTGCTTAAAGCGCTTCTGCAACGTGGAAGTGGTGGGGACAAGCGCAGATCTGATCGTAAACACTGCTTGTCTGATCGGGTATATTGATGCATTGAATTACGAGTAAACGATCGGGAGATAAACCACGTTCTGTAGGTACAACATTTGAAAATGCACATTAAACTGAGGTAACGTTCCGTTAGGCCGATCGCATGAGTGTTCCGGATTTGAGATAAGCGGGAGGGTGACGGGAAGTTAGCGGCAGCGAGAAGACGGCGAACAAAAGTGAACGAGATATGATCTCAGAAACATTCCGGAGAAGGTTCGGACTGTGTCGTCGTGGTGCATAGCAAAAAAGATATGAAATTCAGTTCTATAGAGTCAGGATTTCTCTGGAGGAATGCTTGAACGACTGCAGTGGCATGTGTAAACAATGATTAGCATAACGTATCTCGACGAGAAATTCCATATAGGTTTCGTTGCCTGTTCAAATATGAACTGAATTATGGCCGCTTGATCCTTGACAGCCAATCCTGATAAGATCCCGGCTTTGCGCCCTATGTACATTGTTCAGGACCGAGTGGCGCAAGTTTTGCGGGCAGTCTGGCAAGGCATGCTGATTTGTATAGGATCATGTCCATGTTTCTGCGTTCCTTATTCCTCCTCAACGGGGGACAATCACCACACTTGGTTGCTAGTTTAGGGCACTTTACTACCGTCCCTGAGCTCATCGTGGCAAGGTAAAAATTGTGTCGAGGAAATGGGTGCGTCTCCACGACCCCTGCCCTTAACGGAGGTCCCATCACGATCCCCTTTTACCCTCTGCACATTCGGTTTTTTAGAAAAGATGTTAGCTTCAAATGCACTATAGGGGGTAGCGCCGCTAGGTCCCTCGACCGTTGCTCACGCTGCATCGAAAATGTACGCCTGTCGACAAAACTTCCCCACAATTCCCCACAAAATCTTCCCCACCACTACATTCGATGGCTAGCTAGCAAGTGCTGAGCTCTTTTGTGCTTTAGTCTCTGTTTTATTGGTCCCCACTGCGCCGTCGGCCCATAGACTGAGGGAACATTTCGAGTTAGGCTATTTTAGAGATATCTTGTTTTTGTTTTTGTTTTCTTTTTGATCTCGATCATTCTATCAGAACTAACCCACTCTGTTGTTGTCATAGCGCACCAATGAGTGCAAAGATAAATAAATAAATAGCAGCACCTCTCGTTTAGGACAGGGGAGCAAGGAGGTGCTAGGACTACAAAAAATTGCAGACTAATTACAATTAATTACAATAGAGGACGCATACCGTACTATGAATGTGCAATTGTAATAATAGAAGAGCAAAAGTCCATGTCGGTCAAGATATGCCGCAAAATTTGGAATCGTTTTCTTCTAGTATCGCTCTATTTATTTAATTTTTCATCATAGGTTGTCTCTAGCCTAAAACCGGAACACAACATAAAACGGCGAGGAGAAAGGGAGATGAGGGGGCTGAGAAGCTGTAGCAATCATTACACAGGCATCAAGTTTTTTTCATAACATTCGAAGGCACCTTGCAGACACATATTTTGATCCCAATGAGTAGATAAGAAGTTCTTATTAATTTTTTATCCTCCTTCAGACCAACAACCTCTGTAAAGAAGCTGGAAGAGCCTTTCAAGAGACTGTCAGTGTCGCCGCTACAAAATCATGTAACATATCTGCGATTCCCCCTCATTGACTTTCATATCCAACTAGCAATGATGGCAGCATTTTTCCAAGGCAGCTCTAAAGCGACTTCTTCAGCTTTGATATTCAAGGTAAATAAAAGAGCAAACGGTATCAGAAATGTCTGCGTGCACTATGGCGACATTCCTCATGCAAGTTGTAAAGTTGGGCATTTTGTCTCAATCCCCCAAATATGAAAACCATGTTTTCATATTTGGGGGATTGAGTTGCTGTCCATCAACAGTACCGCTTGGCTTGCAGCTGCTATTAGATTGTTCCATTTCATGAGGTGTAGGGGGACAAAAAAAGATAGCTCTGAATCTTCAACAGTAAGTTGATCAAAATTTGTTGAACTCTTTGGCTTACTTGTGCTTATCGACGCATACTTCAGGACTATCTTGCCTTGGAAGTTACATCAATCTTCATTTTGAACACATATTTAGGATCAATCCCTTGCCAGCATGCTTTTTTGAGGCGTAATAAACTTACTCTTATCACCCTAATCTCCTTGTTCCTCAAAGCACCGTGCCGTAGGCTCCCTTGAATTAAATAGACTTGATTCAAGGGGTCATTCTACTGTCGCTCTTTTTGTCTGCCTTTTTCAGAACGACTGCATCCAATCAAAGAGCAAAAAATTAAGCTTGACTTGGATAGCAAATGCGGTTAAAGGCAAGAACCGGGATTTCCGGTCGATATCAGGCTTTCCCCTGAGAAAAATGAAGTGGTGCGCAAGAGGGGAGCTTGTACATAAATGTCGGGCTGATGTGACAAGGCTTAGGTGCTAAGGCCTTGCAATGCTACGTTGGCCCCGTCCAACACTGTTGACCCACCCACAAATGAACGCTGTTTCGCTTTGACGCTACTGGAGAGAAGGGCTCCATCTTCATTCTTTCGGTTCATTCGGTTCCTTCCGACATCCGTTACTTGCGTTACACTTTACATTTCTACTGTCAGTTACGTCGGAATAACACATCATTTCGTTTCAAAACTTTGCCGTTTACCAATATATAGGCAAAAAGCGCCTTGAATTCCGGCCATAAAACTTTCACAAATGTTAGCTTCAGTGGACTAACACGGGTAATCATGTGCATGTGACGTGACACAACACAACATTCAACACACATTCAACAGATTTTACACGGTAACTGCAATCGCCACGTTCTTCCTTCCACTAGCCCGTTCCTGCTGCACACTCGTACCAGCAGCCGTTAAGGAGACAAGCTTCTGAACGGATTATTCCTCATCGAATATTCATTTTTTTGCCTGGGGCTTCACAGATGGTCTTCTATATCTACACATAGCACACTCTTCAGAAATATGGATTAGATCCGAAGGATCCATGACTTCAGGGGCAGTAATCACGATGGGTGGAGGTGGATGATGTTAGTAAACGCTTTTGGTAGAGAGGAGCCCTCAGCTCACCCTGGTGTGGCATACATAGTTGCCACAATGTCCATGGAGGTGCAAAAGTGGCGGCATACATAGTTGCCGCACCATCGTCAAAGTGTTAACCTGACGCCTAACCGCTACAGTATGCGCTGCGACTCGTCCTTTGCCGCGTCTGCGTCTCTTCCTTCGCCGCGCGATGGGCCTCTTGGGGGACACCCGTGTTTTCAAGTTTGCTCTCAAAAAGTGCGTATGTCTCGTACACTTGCATGCAACTTCGAATATTCATAGCTATTTTAATACAGACAAAACCATAGCCTACTAGCACTACTGATACAACTACAATAAACGCAACATTGAAAATTTCTAATAATCGTATTGGTATCCTTCCATGCGTGTGACATCCTGTCTCAAAGCCTTTGCATCCCCATCTGCTCCATACAGAACTCCTTGCTGGTTTTGTGGCACCTCAATGAGCGAATAATTAAATGAATTAATAAATTGCGAATTAATACCTACAAGTGTTGCTTCGAAGTAAGCACTTGGCTACGATTAGAACCTGTCAAGGATTGTTCCTGTAAGCAAAGCTAACCTCTTCCCTGTTTATCGGTGGCGGATTACGTAGAAGGAACATCAGAGGAGCGTACGCAAAATTAATCGTTGCAATCAGGTACATCATCCTTAAAACCGTAGTGATAACAGGCAAGTAACAACTTATAGCTAAAGCTGTTAACCCAAAGTTCACATACGCTCCATTTCGGAAAACGAGAAGAGCGTCGAATGCAGAACACACAAGACATGTTACGACCAAGGGAAAAGAAAAGAAAAGCCACTTTTTTCTTGGCCGTCGTCACTTGTGGTGTGTAGTCTGCACTCGATGCTCTTCTCTTTTGGCACTATTATTACAACCCCAGTGGGGGCCGAGATGGGTCAAAAAATAATTTTCGCTGAAACTTTGCTATGGGGGTTATCGAGGGTCCTGATCACGAATATGACATCCATTTTTGGCGCTGGCGCCAAATTGGCGCCATTTGGCGCCAGCTGGCGCCACGACTGATTATCACCAAATTCGCTGTAAACTTCTGAATAGGGGTTATTTGGGCCCTGATCACGAATATGACACTGGTTTTTAACATTCGTGCTGTTTAACGCATATTTTCTGCTTTTCTAAGCTTTCTCACCTATAGCGCCTAGACTAAGCTTAGGGGAGGGGAGTGAAACTCCGGAGTGGGTAAACCACGCACCGTGTGGCAAAAGTTGGAGTGTGTTACCACAGGGGAGTGGCCTACTCACTTTGGAGCCCTCCACTATTCAAAGGCTTAGTCCTGATTGCGATCTAATTAGTGCGAGGGCGCAGACGAGCAGGAAATAGGCGCCGAATAGCGCTAACAACAAAAACGAATGTCATATTCGTAATCAGGACCCCAAATAACCCCTATACAGAAGTTTACAGCGAATTTAGTGGGAATCAGTCGTGGCGCCACCTGGCGCCAAATGGCGCCAAATTGGCGCCAGCGCCAAAAATATGTCATATTCGTGATCAGGACCCTCGATAACCCCCATAGCGAAATTTCAGCCGAAAATTGTCCGCACTTTGGGTCTCAGGACATCTGTCAACCGTGAGCTTGGCGGTTCAGCGTTTTGTAGTGATGTCTGGGAGCTCTCACAAGTGCACACTATCACAGCATCTCCTCTTTCTTTATCTTCTTCAAAAGGCTTAGTCCCAATAAGACACAAAGTGTGTGCTTTTCCAGCTACGCTCTCACCCTTTGGTTGACAGAAGCCTTGTAACCACTCTTCTGCTGCAAACAGAGGTAAGAGATACAGAGCATCGACGAGAGAGAAAAGGTTTAGTAGCTAGAGAGCAGAGGTGTGTACAAGGGCAGAGAAAGCCTACGACGCACCATTTAGGTCTGGTGAGCATCCTTAGATGATGCCCCTGATCTCTGCCTTACCTTACATGCAGACAGTACTTTCTGTCTCGGGCTGGGTCTACTCCAGTGACTTATTCATTAGGTGTGTCTGCGAAAGCTTATAACATTTTTACTCCATCAGCGCTACACCTACAGTTAGATAAAGCTTGCCAGCAATTCAGTTTGGTCACTAGTGGCCATCGATTGCCCGTAGCACGTGATGGTTCCCATACTCCTGCGGAAGAAAAAGTATCATTTTTCTGTTTGGAAGACCGAACTGCACCTGGGACAACTTTCTGCTCATCTCTAGATGAAGCAAATCATAACGACATGTGAACCTTTACTTGTCGGTTATTTATCAGTGAAGAGGAAACTCAAAGAACTCACGTGGGGAATCCAACCGATTCCACTAGCGGTCCTGAGAAGAATGGACCGAGTGCAAATGCGAAGCAGAATGCGGCATCGGCAATGGCGTAGATGGAACCGTAGACACCCACATGACGCAAGTCCACAAGATATCCCATCAGAGGAAACATCGACGCGTCGATCATTCCTATTTTAGACTCATATCAACACTTTCAAGAATTTGTGGTGTTTATACTAACTCTAATGCTTTTAATTACTGCTGTTCACAAGGAAATCGTAGGGCTTCTTCAGTCGCATCAGATAGGCAGCTCATGATGGGGGATCTTCGCCTACTGTAAAAGGAGGGCAGGTGTTAGCAAACCCCTACGCCTCTTTCAGTACCACTTCTGGGTTCGTTCACCCCTGAATGGCTGCCCCACCCATCGCCCTTTACCATTCTGCGCACTAGACAGAACAGGGGTTCAATAAGAGTATCCTGGAATTTTGTCCAGCTGCCAAATCACTGACCGAAATAAGGCTACCATTTCGCGAGTCGGACCACTTCAATGGGTTTTTGTTGACTTGGCGTATCACGTTTTTCATCAACAGCTCGCCGTGGCTAGAATTTGGCTCTTCCCTCACAAAATTCCAGGTTATTAGCGGTTATGACTGTTGTGCGAAGATGAATAGTTAAGGAATAGTCCTGGGTAGCAAAAACGGTGGGAAATATAAATTTGGGGAGCCGCTGAGCATGAAACCTTTTTTTCTTTTCTTGCAACCTTCAGCCTTCCCCTTTTTTACCAGCTTGTACCAATTGATGATCACAAAATAGCTGATTGGAGCCAAGCAAATATCTAACAGGTTACATAAATTTCAACAAAAATTCTCACCGATACTGAATCCCATGAAAAAATTAGGGAAAATAAGCCCTTTGATTGATGTAGCCGATGGAATAGCTAACAGGCAGAATCCTATCACTATGAGTCCAATAAACGCTGACAGCCATCTGAACAGTAGACTCACAGAAGCGTTCGATCCGCCACGCAAGTTTTAATGAGCTCACCTCCCGATTTTATGGGCAAGTGGACCAAATACGTTCGTTCCAACCAGATAGGAAATAGAGGCTGGTAGAAAAGCCGCTCCCCTTTCGAATGATCCCGCTTGCCATGTTTCCATCATCCATAGCGGCAGAGATGGTTCCAACATTGCTATTCCGAGGTTTCCTATTGTTATGGCACCTAAATTGTGACGTACACACGTATGTAGGTAGTTATCAGTGATGAGAATTGAAGAATTCCATGCCAATCAATCTGTTTTGAGATGCGCCATGCACTCTCTCCGCTCTGAACCGTCGCGGTAACTTGAATAGATTCGGCCCCACAAAATGACATGCTCGCGTAAGCCGAGGCCCAAGTTAGGGTTTTTATCCTCTCAGACACGTCTGTCACCAGAAAGCCGATCACGGAGGGATGGAACCATCGGTTGGCCTGGACGGTGCCAGGATTGGATCACCGCACCGTGCGTTCGTAAGTGAAGCCACCAACCATTACACCACACCCATCAATTCTGCTCTATGTTTTGACCGCTACAAAAGCACTACCTCTCTCGTTTTGGAACTAACGAAGTGGGACACAAAGCCCTGGTTCCAAGTAGATTTTCCAGCCTATTCGGCGGTTTCCACAGCGGCGATCGCTCGCAGCTAATTTACGAACGTCAGTTCAAGGGGGCCTGCAGTTGACAGGCGTAATGATTCGCTTTGCAAAAAGCTAGTTATACATTGATTATACCGCAAGTCAGGATCGACGAAATTAATTTAAATATTTATTATACTGCTCATTAAGCCTTCCATTACACTTCAGCTGAATTCTGTGAAAACTGCAAAAAAAATTTTTTTTAGTGGCTGAACAGAGATTTGAAATCATTAAAAAGTTTTCCCTTTGAAGAAGGGCAACAGCTTTTATTCTTTAATTATTTATAGTTTTTATTTCTTATTTATTTCAGTTAAATATGGCTATTTTTAATCAACTTGTCAGTTAGGCGTAATCCGGCTTTAAATGTTCTTAACGAACAGCACCTTAGCAGCTACAAATATGTATAAACAAATATATCAATTACGTCATTTGCTTTATCTTTATGAAAATCCAGTTTTCTTGCCGTAGAACCATTACCGTATGTTCTGCTCTCCCCTTAGGTTGAAGCTGATTCAGTAATATACTTCAGCAGTAATGTTCCCCTCAGAGAAGCATGACAGCTCCCTTGGAAGGAGGGGGAGGAAAAGTGGTCCTTATCAGGTTCATTGTGATTCACCAAAAAAGTATGCTCATAGATCGTGGAATAAATCTTATGAGCGGATATTGGTAAGTGCTACTCGGGGTGTAAATAAAGTGAGCCTCACGTTCCATTTCCCACGCAATCAGACTGCTATACACTGGTCGGCCGGAACGAATTCACCCCTCAAACATTTGAAATTTCATGGAATTCGAACATATTCCTGCTATTGTCGTGTGGCCCATTCGAAGAATTGAGTCAAGCCAAAAAGACTTCATATGCGATGGTGTGACAAAACCAGCTCCCCCTTCTATTAGTTCAGCGTCGCTACAAGATCACTGAAACCAATGATGTAGCTATATACCGTTCGATCAACCGAATTGAAGAGCCTTTCTTTAAAGACAGTTCTTCTAGAAATGCTTGAAGTTTACAGGGCGGGCATAAACCCGCTTCCAATTATATTAACCAGAGAAGAAGCGGCATATTGAACCCGGCAACTGACGAGACAAGTGTCTGTAAAGTTCAAGCATAGGTTCGAGTCCGTTTCGAGGTCAGGCTCGGCACACATTACCCAAGCTGAGCGATATTGGCCTTATTTAGCAGGATTGCAGGATACCTTACTGAATCTTCACATAAGAAACAGTACAGAATAGCCAATAATCAGAACCCGACAGGTACCATTTTAAAGAGATTGTGTCGGGTAGGCTGCTGTGACCGGACCAGTGAAAGGATTTCCGAACGTAATGAAATGTAGTTATGTGATAAAGCAAGAAAAAGAATCGGTAGGAACTAAGCCCAATCAATATAATCAATAAGTTCAGGCAAAAAACACATTCATGTTTGCTACCATATAAACAACCGGGAGTAAATCTTCCGGACCGAAATCCGTGGTTTGGCTTACGGGCCCAGCACTGGTATGTGGCGCTACTCGCCGCTGCACTAACATTGCGCACTCCCCCCCCCCCATATTCACAGTTTTCAACTTGCCGTACAGTAAAATGAGTAACGCCCGCCATTCATTCTTAACTAATACCACTGACCAAGGGACCACTACCGCTGGAGCACTTTGCCTAAGAAGGGCTGGAAATCTTCGGATTCAACACTCTTCACTTCTCCTGTGCCAGCCTTCTTTTGTTTCCTTCCTTCTCCATTCTTTTAGCGCCTTCTGATTCTTTTCTCCTTTCTTCTTCAATGAACTATCCTTTCACTTCGCTGACATTCGCTTTTCGTAGTAAACATATGGGTGCGCCTTTCACACACAAATGATCGAATGAGAAGTTTCCTTCGCCACCTTTGGTGAGGGTGTAGCCTAATGATGTGGAACAAAGCGAGTGCGCCTTGGACAATCATTGTGGTCGCTATGACGAATTCTCGGAAATACGGATACTTCCTGTTTCTGGAGCGCTCAGTCTCCACTGTGCTTGGATCATGAGCAATTCTTCTGCTCATCGACGCAATCTCACGAGTTCAGTGGTGAGGGAAAGGAGCTTTTTTAAGGACGCGTACAGACGTAGCGATAGACAAGGGAGGAAGCGAATGCGTACGAAGTTGCCTTGGTGTGTGTGGAACGAGATAAATTTACCAGGATCGAGCATCCGGCGTCGATCAGTCCCTTTGGGAAGAAGCCACACATTCTACTCCCAGTCAGAACCGCAGCAGCATTTTCGAATGCGATTTGACCAATACAATGACGTACAAGTTGCTGTTTTTTTTTCTAAGAGAAGTTAGAAGCAACTCATCGACCTTGACGGGATAAAAAGCTTGGGTTTCCTCACTGTTAGAACGATCCTGGGCTCGTTCTCCGTCCCGTGTGGAACTTGCCACTACACCGCTCCCACCATGAGTAGAGCGTTGAAGCTAAGAACGAGTCATGCTTCGAGGAACTCTTAAACACGCAATAACAAAAAAGATTATAAGAATTAGCTGGGAGAGACTCCAAAACCAAAATCTTGCAGTTGGGCTATGATCTCCAAGAAGCAGACTGTTTCTGTGACGTGAATTACTCACAATGCTTAACAAATCAGGTCAAAGGAGTCGTCTACGAATTAATTCCGACCGGAAAACTATTTCCAGAAATAACATGAAGACACAATTAGTTCACAATTAACAACTTGTTATTCCTATGCAAATGTAGTTCTGTTGGTCAGCATAGACAAAAGCTGCTTGACCAAAAAAGCGGCACTAGATGAACGTAAGATCTTCCACAGATGCAGTTAATTAAACTTCAGCTGGCCTATTTAGTGGAGAAAAAACTCAGCGTTCGTAAAGAATTGCATTGGGAAATTTCTTTGAACAGATTCTGAAGCCTTTAGTCGTGGTATGAATGACGTCATGGCAACCGATCGACCTCCTGTCAACGCCAGGAGTTATTGATCTAGCAGCGCTTTCGAGAAACGAGAGTAGTGAACTTGCTTGAATTTTATCGGGTGAAAGTTGTAAGAGGTCTGTTTCAAGCAGTCTAGTAAAGAGCATTGCAAAAAGCAGAGGAGTAGAGGGAATACTGTAAGCCAGTGTAAATATTGCCAGCAGGTCAAGTGACGCTTCCAAATAAGAAAAATGTTTCTTGAAAGTACGTTCGCGACTAGATACTCAGAGTAATCCAACCGTGACTTTCACAACTTGAAATTGCTCCACGACGCCAGAAGTTTGCGTTGGCCGCGTCAGCCATTTTTATTCTTAGCTTCGCTGTGTCTGTGCCCTCTCGCACGACGTGGTCTCTCACACGTTCCCTCTTCGTCCCGCTGTATCTCTCCGTCGTAGATCGACCTCACAAACGAAGCTTCCCTAATTCTGAAGTTTTTTTTTTACCTTTTCTTCACTGACGGTCATTTTCACACTTCTTGTTTCATATTGGAGCAGAGGAACACCCCACCTCAGTCACGACTCGTGCTTTTAAAAGGTGAAGAGTAGGACCAGGTCAAAAATCTTTGACTGTAAAATATTGTATACGAAGAAACTGTTGCTCCACAATCATCTCTCGAACCCTCAGAATGTTTACCAGTACTATGCATAAACTTGTACTCAACACACCAAAGGTGTTTGAGAGGCTTGAAAATATCGTGCAAGTTACTCTTCAAAACATAATACTCTAGTATCATGCAAATCCTTCTACTTATTTTTGTCTCTAATGGCAGGTATCTGTCGGCACAATTACCAGCGCAGTCCGGAAACCTTCGAGAGGATAACTAGCATCGATCAGCCCCGGAAACTGATGTATCCTGCATAATTCCATGTCGCAATATATGGCCCACCTAACCGTCGGACATCTAACTGAAAACAAGCAACAGAAATAGCCAAACCTGCAGCAACAATAATGAACGGATCCTTTATCAGCTGTTTAATCGTTGAACCTTCTGGTTCGCCTCGATCGACTTTCGGCTGAAGTACCAGGAATTGTAACGCTGAAATGACCACATACCCATGTGCATATCTAACTTCTTCCATGTACTGTGCCACTTACTTCCGTCAAATAAAGCTAATAGAGCAAGAATGATGAAAGGCAGCTCTTTTCCGGCCCACTTGTACAACAGACCACCATAAGGGGGCCCAATGAGAACTCCTAAAGCTATACCACCTAGCGCAATACCCATGGCACTTCCTCTTTCCAGATCGTCGGGGTACGCCTGTGCAAGCATTCCCATACCTGAAATAGGCAGGAAATAGGTGATGAAACGGGACCAACAGAATACACAGTCTGCAATGAAGAAGAGCTCACCAGAAGTGCTTGTACATGCAGAACCGATCCCCTGCATGACCCTTGCGAACCACAGCGTACCATAAGAGGAACCGAACGCAAACAGGACTGTCGACAGAAACATTATAACAAATCCCGCGAACATCGGCAGGGTGTAGCCGATTCTGAACTCATGTCTCTACAAAGGCATTCATTCATTACCTAATGAATACTTACTTGTTGGTCAGAGGACCTATCCACGGATTCGCAATGAGCTGTGCAAGAGCCTTTGAGCCGAACATCAGTCCGACGAAAACGTTTTCTTTTGCTAGGATTTCGTGCCTCTCCTTCTGTTGACTCGAAGAAACCGTGAGTTGCGGTGGAGTAGGACGCATTCTTGGCCTACCAAATGACTTGGTACTAATAATTAGAAACATGGCAAAAGCGAAGAAGGATAAGTCGCGCTCCTTACCATGCACGCGAACCGAGGACCAAATTCTGGGTTGTGAGTCGCCCGGGCCAACCAAGCCTTCCATCCCTCCGGGGTCGGTTAATTGGTACCAGACTTGTCTGGGAGGATAAAAACACTGACTTGAACATCGGCTGGCCCCCGCAAGTCACTGTATAGAACCCTGCACTCAAATGCCGCTGCGATTCTGAGTGAAGTAGGGAGTGTGGCGCATACTAGCACGGTATCGATCGGTGATGAATGTTTGGCCCTTTCGATTATTTAACAGTGCAAGCTAAAGCAAGATGTACCGTATCTCAATTCCGCATGAGTAAAAAAGTAATTCGAATGCTACTGTGGTTTCATATAGGAGTGGATGCGCCTAAATACGTTCATCTGGAGGCCATCCCCTGCCCAAGTGTGAATGATAAGGGCTCCCTGTTGAATTGCGTGTGATCATTAGGCGTTATAATCACATTCCGGTGTACTGCGATGTGAGTGCTTAGAGTAGGGATCAAAACCCAAGGTACACAAGGCATGCGTCGTGGGTGCAAGTGATTCAGGGTTATTTTCGTGTGAGGACGGAACCTTTGCAGCAGAAGGGCTTTGCACAGGAGGAGTGCCCTCTTCCGAAAAACATCGCTTACCCTCGAAAAATGGCCTGAGACGTCATCTCACGGACTAGGGGAGCGCGGTAGGGAGGGAGAAAAGTGTGCGTTAAGGAAGGAGTGAAGTGTTACTACGTTCCTTCATTGAAAACATTCTATTATTCTGACCTTTGGACAGCCGAAAGTTCCTTTGAAGGCTCTTTGATTTTTTGTTTAGAGGTTTTACGATTTTTATCTGGCTTCCGCGGTGGAGTAACGGTCTTCTGTTCCAAAAGTTCTTCATCCGCTTCCTCACCTAGCGTTGGGATATCCCAAGCATCGTCATCCCACAAAATCTGAAAATTGGAGGAGATTCTGAAAATTTCTGAGAATCTAATAAAAATTGGTCAGAAGTACTGGAAAGAAACTTGTCCTCTACAAAACGCTTACCTGTCTCTTTTCGATCTTATGTTCATCCTCTTCTGTGGGTTTGTTGTATAACAACAGCTGCGTCTGATTAGGATGCGATATACGTAGGAGGTATTCAGGTATTATCGGAACTGAACGAGTCACAGAGCAGATTAATTCGAGTAAGAGTACTGTATGCGAGTATTGAGTAGTTAGGAAATCCTATTAGAAGCCGAGCACTCACCTACTGTGGTCAACAGCATGTTGTCTAGGAAAAGAGCTATGTAAACTATGAGAAGGAGAACTCTTCTGTTGTTCTTGTACCTACTGATTGTCTCGTACAGCGTCATAATCTGAAATACTGAATCTTGAAAGTCACCTCAATGTTAGAGCCGTAGGATTCATTGGAATTCGTCGCTGTAGCAACCAGCAAAACAAAAATTCGAAAAAAAAAGAAATTTCAAGAAGGTATGCAGGTACGATCCGTACTGAACAGCCACAGAATTTCTTAAAAGGGTGCCTTTTCAAATAGGCTCAATCCAGAAAAGGAGAAATGTTATCAACGCAGTGGGTCTTTTTGTTGTGCTTGGGTTACGGTAGCTATATATGGACATGAGACTAGAGATGGTAGCGCAATAAGAACTGAGGATAAAAGCGTTTTGTTTGTGGACAACAAAACTCTACGCCAGTTTTAGCGCTTTTGCTCTGGCAACTGGGTTTTCAGATAGAAAATGTTTTTGGGCCCAACGTCTCGGCTAAGAAGTCCCTAGAGGGACTACCTACCACCGCTAGAGCATGAGCATAGTGCCTCTCTGTGCTAGTTATACTTACTAATTAAGATGATATTTTCGAAACATTTGGTCATGAAGGGTTCCCCACCTATAACCCGTACGAACGAAAACATAGACGAAGTAATAAAATTGGCAACGATGGTAAAAATTTCACGTCAAGTCAATATTTCGTACGGCCCAGAATCCTTAATGATAAATCATGTCCAACCTTTTAGTGTTCTTTGCAGTTATTCGTAGTCTCTAAATATTTCGACCAAATGAAAAGTGTCCCAAGAAATTGTGATATAAGCGTTCGCAAGGTTTTATGAAGAAAGAAAATCAAATTGACCATTCAGTGGATGAATGAGTTAGAACCAATTGAGAAAGAGCGTAAGTGTGAGCTCCAGCGATACTTAGGGTTACCCGGTGTAAAGTGGGCTTCTAAAGTGAGAAGTTGTGGGCGGAGTAGGCGGGTCTGAGGTGTCCTATTCACAACATCTAGACGTATGTGAGCATATATTAACGATCGAAACAATATTTATATAAAATGTTGGTCTCTCGCAACATAACGAGGAAGTACTAAGTCTTTGAGGTGTTAAGATGCAAACATCAGCGAATATATGTGTGAATCTTCATAACGCACGCGACGCTTCATGAATCATTAGTTCAACTCGGGATATTAATGTCTCGTGGGTACACCCTGATCTGTATCTCATGGTAACAAAGAATTCTATCTTTGTTTAGTGGCGCTGCATTACCCCCAAGGTATCAGTTTCTCACGTTGGTGATTAAAACCTGAAGCAGATTGTGGGAAACCCGATATATCCCGTTCTACGTGTTGACAAAGCCATGCTTGTACATAATAAGAGCAGCAACTTGACAGGATGATTCACTGAAAGCGGACGTTTTCAAAAAGATGGCAGGTGACATTTTGGGTAAGATAGACCTGTACCTGGAAGAATTCCCACGAACTTGGGACGTCTGCATTTTGCGAAATAGCCTCACCAATGGCGCTAATCCCTTCTAGAGTTGAAAGCTGTCCCCGTTTTCCCCTTTCCCGTGGATGTTTAAAACTCCGACTCAGCCCCACAATGATAAAATGACGGAATATGGGAGATGACTGTCAGGAAATGATAATCTGCTCGTCCTTCTGATTCTCAGACATCTCAAGATGTCACATTCTCATTGAGAAAGCCCGGAAGGCCTACTTCATGGGTCAAGTGCTTTCCTTCCCAGAGTGATAAAATACAAACTCGCTTTGAAATTATTTGTTCTGAACGACAAGGTTTCTTCACCATCAACACTCGCTCGCTTTTACACGCACATACAAACACACAATTATGTAGACCCTTTCTTGGGGTTATTCTCGTGAAAGAGGCAAAGAAAGTTCAAAGGGATTTTCGTACCCTCCAGCTGAGGGAAGGAAGCCCATTTTTACGAAATCAGAACGCTCCACATAGTTCGCCAATAAAAAACTTATCAGCTGGCTCATTTTGTCCACATACTTGCATTACTAGTGAATATTGACTATACTTCCCCTATGACTTTACGGAAAATTTTGTAGTGTCCTTAAAACAGGAGAAAGTAAAAAATTGCGATACTCTGTGGAGATCTCCTCACATCTCAACCTTTTTGGGCTCTAAATTCAACTCTACGTAGCCACACCTTTTGACTCACAACTTAACCGGAGGTTATCCAGAAAAATCAGAACTGTAGTTTTCGAGATTTCAAAATGTGAGAAAAAATATACCTATAAAGCGAGTATTCCAGAGCTCTATATTTGACAATTAGAAACGCAGAGGAACCGCCGTGGACGAGTGACCTAGAGTTTTCCATCGAAATTCTTCCAAATTTTGTCGATTTGTAAAGGCAAATGCAGGGTTATATGCAGGGTTAAAGCCCACCTCGACTCTACCTTCGCCCTTGTAGGGCTATATAAATGCCTCCGTTGCCTGAACCCACTGCTGTACCACTGTTTTGAACGAGCTCACTACAAAGAGCCTAATGTACATGAAAGAAAAAACGTTACGATAAAATCCCTGCGGTCAGAGTTGTTGTGAAACACATTCCTTGCGATTTCCACTCAACAAAATAAGGGTATAGAAAACTGGAGCAGTCATGTTTTCAGTAGGTGAGCAGGAAGAAAGTAAGTAAGAAATTAGTGCAAACCAGGTTCATCCTATATGCGGGCCGCAAGGCATCCATCTTCTCAAGTGGCATCTCTCATCAAGAAGGGTGATGAATCCCTCTTTCCCATTACGAGTTCACATCTGTGGTTCGTGGTTCCCGGATAATGGAATAGCGGCGTTTCTTACCGCGTTGTTATTCCGGCTATCGGAAAAAGAATGATTCTCGGGCAAGCACCAGGTTCCGCGTTGCTTTTGTAAAGTTACTGCAACACTGTATAACTAGTAACTGCCGTAACTTCCCTTAAATTTTGATGATAAGGTTTGCTAGTCACCGGCTAGCTGTCATTGCTAAATACTGTGTTAAAGGACTTAAAGGCACTTGACGCCAGATTCAGGTTTATTGATCATTTAAGCTTGTAAAGCTGCTCACAAAGGTCTACGATTAGGGCGTTGAGGCCTCGCCGTCCGTTGAGTTCCACAGAGTTAGGCCAGACCCGCAGGTAAAAGAATAAAAAGGAGCCAGCCGTCAAGTCAGTGTTTTTATCCTCCCAGACAAGTCTGGTACCAATTAACCGACCCCGGAGGGATGGAAGGCTTGGTTGGCCCGGGCGACTCACGACCCAGGATTTGATCCCCGGACCGCTCGCGTGGTAAGCGCGCCACTTGCCACACTGCTTCTGTAAAAAAGAAAAAAAGCTACTATACACGCTCAGTCATGTTATGAGACACTTGATGTAGTAAACGATAGCAGTTATAAGAGGGGTGGCGCCGATGAGGATAGCACGATTGTTGGCACAAACCTTGCTGTTGTTGCTGGAAAACTTGCAAGGACACGTCCTTCCCATCCTAGGCTTTCCGCTGCTGACGAAGAGGTGGGCCTTAG